TTAATAGTAGTGACTACATAAGCGTTTAAGCATGAAAAATAATGCACCTAGGTTTAGTTATATACACAAGAAGTTTTTACCAGTAAACTTCTGCCTGATTGATTCGTTTCTACGGCTTATCAACACTTTGTAGGTTATTTAAAGCCAGAAAATATTTTTAGATTGTAAGATTTGGGGGGAGGGAGATAATAATGATTTACTGATACAAATCTTACTAATTGACCTATAGCTGGGAGAAGGAGTGGATTCATACCTTTCCCAACGGCATATGCACATAAATGAATATAACGTACCCAACTGTAATTGGAACTCGATTCTCCAATTAACAATTCCTAGCCATTGTCCATTACAGTACCTAATATTCCCAAGTAATCACCTGTCTAGGTTCTGACCAGGGTCGACGTTGCTTAACTTCGGTGACCATACGGGAACCAATGTTTCAACGTGATGTGGTCGTAAGCCCTAAGCTTCTGCAGATACATTGAATTAACTATTATATTTTCGTAAATGACTTTCCCGATGTCATCAATTCTCAACCGAGTATCTATGCTGATGATATTTAATCCTGTTTTAATAGTAAGTCTGAGTGGTTTGATAAAGTCAAATTGGCAGTGAATCTCAAAAATATCCTTTAATCTGTTCTTAAATGGGGTAAGGAGGGGTTTGTTAATTTTAACGCCTCAAAAAAAAAAAAAAAAAACTACTCTTTTAATCATCCGAGAGAGCCCTTTTTACTTTCTATCACCATGGCTGATGCTAACCTCCAGTAGAGTGACTCATTGCACCTTCTCAGACTAACGTTTTCAACTGACATCAAGTGGAAAGAGTATATTCAATCAGTTGCTAAATCTGTAGACGATTTTTTCTCTCCAGAATTTACCTTACATATTTATAAGTCTACCATTCATCCATGCTTTGAATATTGCTGCCACATCTGGTCTGGTGTTCCTGCTATATATTTAGAAATTCTTGATATAATCCCCAAAATCTACAATGTTATTGGTCCTGACCTGGCATCTCGGATTCAGTCCCTGTCCCACCATTGTAACATAACTTCTCTATAAATATTTTCAAGGTAATTGTTCTGACGAATTTTCCACTATGTTACCTAGACTTTATGAACTTAAGTGCAGTACTAGATTGGCAGCAAGGTCTCATCATTTTACAGCTGAAATGGCTGCTAGTTTTAACTATAAGTTCTATGCTAATAGTTTCTTCTATCACACTACTCACTTGTGAAACTCTCTTCCAGCTTCTTGCTTACCAGTCAATTTTGATCTTCAAAAATTTAAACCAAATGTCAATCGTTATCTTCTTAATTCCTGTTCTTTTACCCATCTTCTGTAACACTCAGTTAAAAAGAAGAAAAAGAAAAAGAAGAAAAAGAAAGAGAGAGAGAGAGAGAGAGAGGTTGACTGCAGTGAGGATCATTGAGTCAATGGGAACAATCCTTTCTTTTAGCTGCAGAGTATATGCTTTTCCAGGGCTGCATACAGTTTTGAAGTCAGAGTTTTCCTTCTCCAAGACTTGTTACCACCCATGGATATAGAACCTAGTCTATCTTACTATTTACCCATAGCTGGCAGGCAAAGAGTTGGATTCATGCCTTTTCCCAAGTGTATTAGCACACAAGTGAATGTAATGAACTAGACTGGAATTTGAAATCCACTTTCCGATTCCTCAATCCAAGCTACAAGCCATTTTTCTATTGTGCCTCATTAAGTTCTTGTGTTTCAGTGGCTTTATTGCCTTGCTTTTTTTTAAACTTTAGGCTCTGATTTTGTGAGCTGCAATATTTTTTTCTTTGTTCGAAACAAACTGCCCAACATCGAGAATAGCATTCCTAAGTTCATTTTTGTTGGTAAATATTTCCACTAATGTAAGCTTTCTTCATTAGGGTCCACAAGTTTTCAATCAGGTTAAGATCAGCTGAATAAATAAATCATTTCATTATATATCTATGAAACAAATGTTCATTAGCTTTTTTCACTAAATGCGATGGAAAATAAATTGTCGTACATAAAAGCAATCTTCTAAAAGAGATTAGCTTTTTTTCTTAAAAAAAAAAAAAAAAAAAGTCACTGTAACTTAAAAAAAAAAAAAAAAAAAAAAATGCATGTCTGAGCTGTCATAACAGTAATTAGAATTCATTTGTTGTCAACTAATACCCCATCCCAAAACATTGCGCTACATCTACCTTGTTGATGCATGAACCCATTTCCACCATTAACTACACTAGTTTTTGCTTCAACCATCTGGAATATTATGGGTAGTGGTAGTGTGGTATTCGTAGTTAAAAAAAAATAAAATAAATATCGATTTATTCTGTTGCCCGTCTTATTCAATCTTCCTTATCGATATCTTTTAAGCTATTTCTGATTAATTGATATTGACATTTCCTCGCTTCCACAACACTTACAAATTCCATAGCTTGACCAAAACAATTTTTTCTTTTATAACTTCTCTCTCAAAACACGACAGATTAGGGAGATAAAATTCTTAACAGTTCACTGGTACTTTCATTCATTCTTCCAATTTACAGCAAGTTTTGCATTTCGCAAGTTCTGAAGTTATTAGACATTTCTCTGTCTTTTGAATCCACCTTACAATTCATTTTGCAGTGGGTGTACTAATTAGAAACTTTAAAATTTAAAAACAAAAAAAAACAAACATTTTATCCAAATTGCTACATTTTGTTTACATCTGTGCAAAATGAAACAGTTTTCATGCTAACCGTGCAAACAGACATTGTCATCATTCCACAGACAAACCTTTAGATTCCAGTTTCATTGATAAGACACAAATAGTGGGGCATAAACTGATAGTAACAAACAGCAATTTGAATTGAAAGCTATCTTAACTGTGGAATCATTTCTAGTACTCATTTGAATGATAGTATAAATTCATTTAATAATTGAAATTTAAGCAAAGAACATTTTTCTGTGCTTTTGCATGGAAGACATCTTGAAAACACATTTTACAAACCAGGTTTTCAGTTGTACATGAGTTTTTTAAAAATATTTAATACTCTTAATGATTAGCGCATAAGTCAAATCCATTGCATTCACTTACGTGCTAATAACCTTGGGAAAAGTATGAATCCTCTTCTTCTCCCCCCAGCCATGGGTAAATAGCAGGACAGACTGGGTTCTATAGCCTTGTATAGCAACTGGTCTACTGCAGAAAGAAACGGCAATCTACTGCAGGAAAAAATCCTCCTCGTCAGTCATGTATCAAAACATACATGATTGCCTAAATGTGTATCACACATGGCACATAACTGACTTGAATGATTATCAAGCCCTCAAAACTAAAGTTTTCTGACATGTTTGATATCAAAGTAAAATAATAATGGAAACATTATAGATACATTATTTCCAGTGATTAACAAAGTTTGTAGTGACCAACAACAAATATATACTTTGTATTTTACATATAAAAAAGTGTATATATTTATTTGATGTGTGGCAGCATGCATTGCAGCTTGAATTGAAGAATTAGAGAGCTGAGTCTGAATTCCAGTCGACTTCATTAAATTACTTGCATGCTAATACCCTTGGGAAATGTATGAATCCATCTCTTCTTCACCCAGCTATGGGTAAATAACAAGACAGACTGTGTTCCATAATGTTGGGTGGCAACCAGTCTATGAGAAGGTAACTCTGAATTCAAAAACTGGTCTGGTTTGTTTTGGGCTCAGTCAAGCCATCTTACCCAAGACACACCACTTCTAATGCAGCTGCAGTACATGTGTTACCCCTACAACTAATGAGTTACAGGACTCATGATTGTGATACAAGTGATGGCTATTTTTTTTCTTTTTAGACATTCAAGAATATTTTTAATTTACTGATTTGTATTACAGAGAAAGAGTAAACTGCAGACATATTGAAATGTAAATTATGTGGAATGAATAAATATACTTTATATATTCATTTATTGTAAGCAGAACTGCCATCTGTGCCAATAAATCTCCACAATAGAAACAATCTTTAAAATAATCCATAGACTGTTTCTACAAATTTCCCTCAGATTTTCACAAAGTCTTCAAGGCAAGTAATAATATTTTTAATAATTGTGAAATAAATTCTTTTATTTTTTTTTGCTCTCTACAGTGGACATGTGTGTGTGTGTGTGTGTGTGTGTGTATGTACTTACACATAAACAGTAAGTAATACACTGATGCTTATCAATGTCAGTTATGTATGCTTACATATGTTTTAAATAACAGTATACTGAAACAAATTATAAATCAGCTATTAACCTTGAGTTGTATTACAAACAAAACTCCTTTTTAAGGAAGTTCACTAAAGAATTAGATAAAAGACTTATCAGTATCTATTAGTAAAAATGTTTCTATTAATATTTCAGTCCTAGCATAAGAGACTTTTTGATGCATTTACCAACATTAGTGTTTTAGTCATCTAGCTGTTGATCAAATTCAAAAAATAAAAATTAAAAAAAAAAAAAAAAAAATACACAAGGTATTTCAAATTTTTATGAAATGGTCAATAAGTGAGACATTGAAAATACTTAATTTATTAAACAGTGAAGCACTAACAAATACCAAGTTAAAACCTTTTAATATTTTAAAACGATTTATTGTAAATTTAAATAAAAAATATAGTATTTGGTAATTGTGTTTTGAATAAATGAGCATTTATCACTTTAGGTATTTCATAGGATTATTTCTTTAGTGGAACATTCAAACTAGTAATATGTATAATTGCTTTCTACATGACAGAATGGGGAAATGGAAAGTTGTATTAAGTTTTGAAACTGGAGTTTTTATTATTAAGAAAGTATAGCAAATAAGATTTTTTGTTTGTCTGTCATCTTATATAAATTTGCAAACAAGACAAAGGAATGCAGTTTTTCTTCATATTCAAACAAGAAAGACAAGTGTAAAAGAGAATGAAAGACAAAAAAAAAAACGTTAGTTTTTAACAAAAGATGGTTTTATATACAAATGAATGATGATCTGTAAACCGTCTTTATTATTAATTGCATTTCTTTTTCTTCAGTGCCAACAAAAGATCTCTGAGGGTCGGCTTCTTTCCTTCTGGTGCACTAAAAGCAAAGAAAAAATACAATCAGAAAAATAAAAATAGAATTTTCTGTGTGAATAAGATAAAAAGGAATACATTAATAGTAGCTGAACTTAAACATTAAATACAAATCAGCTTAAAAAATAATTATATTTTCTTTTCTTTTGCTAGGCAATATATATATAAAATGTAATATTTTGAATAGTTATTTCTGTAAAGTATTTTTTTAAAAGGTGCAAAGAGCTATTGGGAGTGAAAGAGAATGAAAAGACTAGAAGGAATCAGAAAACCAATCCTAAGCAGGAAACAAGGGATAAACTTCTACTCCTGTTTAAAAGACTGGGAGATGTTAGAAGTATAGAGTTGAAGTAGACTTTAGAAGGAACCCATGTTTACACCTAGGACATGCCATTTCCACCAAGTTGAATCACACTCATTTCTTTCTTGTTCCAAATATATGAAGAAAGTTCCACTCAGTTTTTCCATCCTCTAAGAAATTTCACTTTATGGAAGAGATTCCTGCATGGATGCTTCCCTAAAAACTACAATCTAAAAGTGAAGTTAAAATTTAGTATTGATTATTATAATAAAAATAAACACTGATAACAACTTAAGGGATCGAATCTCCACAGTTCATTAATATTTTACTAGCATATTAGCCATAAAAAAATGATTGGATTATTTTCATATGGATGAGCACTTCTGCCAAGGATCTACTTGAGATCAAAGCACCACTCTCTAACTCTTGGCCTATGATCAAAGTGTAATATTTGTGCACTCTGTAAAAAGTGTTACTCTCACAAACAGATTCTATTATATAAGTTAGTGTTTTTACAGTTGGTATTAACCACTATATGAATTTCATCTTATATCTGTTTTTATGAGAAATATTTGCAATTATTTAATGGTATGAGATTTTATTATGCAACATGATAACTGCTCATCATATTGTAAATACATAGTATAGTTATATTTTTTTTTAATTTCAGATTGTTGTAGAGTGTAAGAAAAATATAACCTGAAGAGAGAAATAGGATAATTATTGAGTGATGAGAAGACACCACTGAAAATTTCAAAAATGTTCAACAAAGATATAGATCAATCAAAAAGAAAATTGAAAACAGTTATGAGAAGAAAAAACTGGCTTTAACAATGTCACAAAAAGAAATTTGAGAAAAATTACAATGGTAATGAGCAAGATAAATGGATGGCCCAGTAAGAAAATGTTTAAAGGAACTGGTGTTGGAAATGTAAACAGAGGAAAGATACATAATATTAAGAACATTGTCTGAAAATATGAAAGCAACTAACTACTACTTTTAAGTAAACATCCCAAAGAGGAACATGAAATTTAGGTAAAGAAATACATGAAAACTGATTTCTTAACAGTAATTTTTAGTCATGAATGTAGAGCCACATTGGATGGATCCAATGTCTAGACTAGAGATTGTACCTTTATTGAAATAGTCAACCCACCCAACATAGAAGACAACAAGAAGGTGAGGGAATAATGTTTTAGGCAGTTACTATAATTCCTTGATGATGGTGTCAAGATAAATGCAAATAAATGTTCTAAGTTCTTAGAGAAGATATTTTAATTGATGCAGATCATAACCAACAAACTGTAAAGAGCATTTCCTGCAAGACAATGATTTTTTTTTCAAAATTCTGCAAATTTTGAGCATTGCCTAATTTGCCAAAAATGATTAACAGAATGACTTCCAACCTCTACAGGTATTAATCCAATAGAATATTTGTGGTTCCTCGTTAAAAGAATCGTATATGAGAATGGAAAACAATATTCATGCAAAGATCTCCAGAAAGCAATAAAAATTGCTGCAAGTTAAAGCAAAAAACAAGTTAGCAAAATCAAAGGATAAAAGATTGATAAATGTTATATAATGTCAAGGAACCCATATTAATATGTAAAAAATTTATTTAGGTATACAAAATAATATGATTCTATGGTCTATTCCTTTTGGATTTATTTATAAATAAAAATTTATGCTTTACTTGTTTTGTATAATAAAAACCTGATACTACAAAATAAATTAGTGTTAATATTTTTAATAATGATATAAATTGAAACTGAAATGAATATATCCTAAAAAATTGATGTCAGTTTTATCATGAAAAAAAGTATAGACTTACAAAATAAAATCTGACATATTTGTGTGGGTGGGGAACACGAACTCTATATCATCTTATTGTTAATTTTTAACCCAAGACTACATCAATAAATTATCATTTCAGTTTTGTGATAAAAAGCAACAATAATATAATGAAGTAAAGCTACTTCTTCTAGATGCCATATTACTTCTACATGGACGATCATGGTTCCCCCCCCCACTCTCCTGTCCTTTGTAGATATTAGTAAGCTTTGTCTTAGTCCCTGTTCTGACAGCCATTTACACAAGCTTGTTAGGTTGTTGCTGATTTCCTCTGTCCCTGTCGCTCTCAATATGTACTGTGAGTGTCAAATTCTCCAAGCTCTCTTTCATCATTATATGCCCTAGGAAATTCAATTGTCTCTTTCTGATTCTAAGAAAGAGTGTCCTTTTTATTTCAATTCTCTTTAAAATTGTTGTTGCTTACATAATATTCTTAGCATCCTTCTGTAGAACCACATTCCTGTTGCCTCAATTCTCTTCATCTGTGAGGAGATTGTCCAGCATTCACTACCATATAAGTGGACCAATATTACATAGCAGTTCAGCACTCTTTTCTTTGTTTCTAATGAAATTTTTCGCTTTACTTAATACTTTTGGAAGGCAACTTCTGCTATTCCACTGTATCTTCAGATTTCAGAGTCACATTTTCTGCTCTCTGTTAAAACACTGCCTAGATATTTAAATTTTTGTACTTGCTTGATTCTGATATCTTCACCTCACAGTTTGCATACATTCCATCTTTTTACAATTGATGCTTAGTCCTTTCTTCTCACTTTCTTTTACTACCTTCTCTAGGAGTTCCTGTAGTTTCCTTTCTGTATCTGAAAGCTTGTAATAATAATAACTCATCTAATTGTTTTTTTTTTTAATTTTTGATGAAGCATTTTTACTATTATTTTATTACAAGCTTTATTCCTTATTAAAATCAAAAATAACTTATTCATATTTACTGTTGGTTATATATATATATATAAAAAATCTTTTCTAAATTGAATGCACACTTCACATCATTATCTATTTGCATCTTCAATACATTCTGTTTGTACAACTATTTTCACATTATTAATGAGTGAACAATAATTTTACAGAGAATTTTTTTTTTATGAACCTGGAAATGTCAGAAGGATTGATTATCTATCAAACAACAGTGTGAGGTTTCATTAAAAATAAACATCAAGTCAGTAACAATTATATTTATCAAGTAAGTAGGGATTAAAAAAGAGGACATAAGGAAATAGCTAAAATAATTATTTTGTCCTCCACCCATTCCAAGAAAGCTAGAGTAAATATGATAGCAAAATTAGTGCAAATAATAGATATGAATGTATCCGTATGTTGCCATGGTCTGTGTGCTTGTATGTACCAACTAACCTACCTCATTACTTACTCAAAAGGTTAATTGTAAAAATATCAGAGTGAAAAAACAAAAAAAAAAGAAAGCATCAAAACTGAACTTGAAAACAACTTTTGAGGTATTTTATTCATTTTAAATAAAGTGATGGCAGAAATAATAGAATTAGATTTATTTTACAACATTGTTTCATCTCATACTATAGCTAATGATATTTTTAAATATATTTAAAGCATTTTTGTCATAGCAATGTTGACTATGAATTCAAATCACTTAAAATGGTAATTTTGAGTTGTAATAATAACTGACCAAGTGCCAAGGAGATTTTGTTTGTGCTAAATCAATGATGAAAACTAAAATCCCATTTTAAATTAGAAGAGAACTCTTACAAACATACATATATATATTGAAATGGCAAATCACTTTTACATAATATTTCATGTTTATAAATACACAAACACAACATGATACTTATAAGAAAGTATGTCAGCTTCTGCTGTTTCTAAAGAAAATAAAAAATTAAATTATATAAATAAAAAAAAATCAAAAGGATAGTTAGATATATTTTATTTATATTGAAAAAGTAAACGTATCAAAGAGAATTTCCAAGAAATTAGGTTGTATTTTTTTGTGTTAGATAAGCCATAAATAGAATTCCTATCAGTTTTTGTTGGGCAGAAAAGAAAACATGAAATAAAAAAAAAAAGAGTAATCATCTACATTCTACTTTGTTATACATTCATCAAATTCTCATCATGAAAATATCACCTCTTACAATAAACTGAAATGAAATGACTTTACATATATAAGGACCAAAAAGAAAAAGCATTTATATTTTCACTCAAGTAATTTAAGATATTCTGTGTATGATAGCTGTTAAAATAAGAAATCTACTTAAAATTTTTTTAGATGTTGACCCATCTCCATTAAGAAGATTAAAACTCCTATGTGGAGACTGTATTGTATGTAAATTATTCTATGTTTCACCAAACTCTTGTAAGGTAAGGTAAGTTTTAAAACAAACAAAAATATCCATTTATTACACATTGCTCAATGCAAGGCTGATCACAAAGTTTAAACTGTACAACTAGAAAAGGCTTTAGAGTGAACATCATTTAAGAAAAAGAAAAAAATCATGCCTTAACAGACTGGCAAATAATTGCAAATTATTAAGTAATTCTATTTAACAAAATTACTAAAGTTGTGTAATAAAAAGGTTCAATTTGTAGTTGTGAAAAGGGATTTGAAATTTTGTTTCATTTTAATCTACAGCAAATAACTGTTCTAACAAAGTGAAACGTTTAAGAATGATTCATACACTAGTATTTTTCCTCTGAACAATACTTGCCACAATTCTAAATCAAATTATAATTATTGGTATTAAGTATTAATAACTGATTAAGATTGACAAAATTAGTCAATGTAATTATTTGCATTGGAGAAGTTTAATGAGGGACAACCTTCTTTTTTATTCTAATCAATTGACCAATCTCGTTTAAA